GTGTGTGTGTGTGTGTGTGTGTGTGTGTGTGTGTGTGTGTGTGTGTATGTGTGTTTGTGTATTTCTATGAATGCATGTATGTATGCGTACTTGTATGTATGTATGTATCTGTGTATATATTTATATATATCACTTGCATATATTTATGTATACGGGTTTACAAGACGGTTGCCATATTTAGCCCTCGTTGACATGAAGTTTGGTGTATAATATGAATTCAAACACATACTGGCGACATACCGCTTTTCCTGCGCTGACGATGTCGTAGTGGAAATAATTCTTTTTTACCATATCATCTAGAGTATCGAGTATGCTATCATGTAAACTTGATTCTATCTTCTCGGCAGAGGTACGGGAAAATCCTCTGTAACTGTGTGCCATGCACTGTTTAAAAGCGTTCACACACACACTTTCTTTCTTCGACCCTTTAGTACATACACAGTCTTGGGGTGTGGTGAATTTCCTACACGCATGACACGTGTTCGCCTGTATCGTGAATGGTGTGGGTGCCTTGGTCGCTGAGATAGGTAACTGACTATTACTACTCACTTCTATGTGTGTACAATCCGACCTACTCTTGTCGTTCTTTCGGGATTGTATCTGTGCCTGTTTGTGTTTTATCTTCTTTTTTGATTTCTTTTGAGACGTCTCCAATTGCTTGTCTATATGCCGCGTACTACTTGTAATCTGAGTGGCGTCCCCCCTGCCATTTTGTATTGTATTGTTTTGTTGGTTGTTTACTTGTGTAGTCGGCACATCGGTAGGAAAAGAGGTTTGCTGATGTATTTTTTTTCGCTTGTTTCCTTTCGAACACTCATTTCCATCGACTTTGAGTTTTCTCTTTCCGCTACTTATATCAGGATTTATCGCAGGAGTACTGGCCGCGGTATCTCGGATTATACCAGATTGTGTCTTCTTATGGAAAGGGGCTGTCTTCTTACTTCCGTTGTTAATGTTCCCAATAGTTTTACCTTGGACCACACCCGTACTCTTTTGTTTCTTTTTGGGGTTGCAAACGATTTGCTGTTGCAGCTTAGCCCAGTTTGAAGCCATGGTTAATACAGGTCTATGCAGATAACTGCAACGTAGATATATATAT